ATGCCGGCGAAACGTCTGGGAATGTACCACGTCCACGGTCCGACTTTGGAAATAATTATGCATAAAATGGTCTCAGGACAAGGTGCGTTTCTATAAGTTTTTCTACCATTATAACCAAGTTACGAAAGCAAGGTCAAAAAACTTCTATACAACGGAAGGAGACTGCGACCGCACAAAAGGCCACACCATCTTGGTCTTCATATCTATATGCATTATTGTTATTATTATTTTCCCTTAGGATTGTTATATTTAGTTGTTAATGAATGCAATTAAAGTATGAAACTCAAACTTGATTGGCTTATGCACGCTTAATATAAATTAAAAATACCTATATAAGTTGTTTGACCTTGTTTATTGGTAGGAAGACTTAGAATAACGCACCTAGTCCGGAGTCCATTGTATGCATGATCGTTTCCAGAGTAGGACCGTGGACATGGTACATTCCCAGACGTTTCGCCGACATCGTATTCGGCATCGTCAGCGAGTCTTGCCATTCTTAGCACCACAAAACAATTCGTCAAAGAGACAAGTGGAGCCGATCCTTTAAACAAACGCGTGCTAAACAGTTATGGTACCTCTCCTTCTGCCCTGGGCTATTTACATTTCCTGTATCCTCTTATTACAGCTTCACTGTTACAATGTTTACCGTGTTTGTTTCGATGGTGTGTGGTGTGCTCCTTTGAGCGGCATTCATGAAAACCTTTCACACTTCGCGCTATCGTTCTCATCCCCTTCACTTTTGTGCTGGAAATGTTGATCATATTCTGCCATATTGTTAAGCAGTCCTCCTTCCCTATGTCTTATCACAGTCTCTCTCTTGCCCCGTAAGATCCGTGTGCTCTCTCCCTGGTTCTTTTTTTCCCTCGACCCCTGCCACCTTATCTGGGTGACTAATTCGAGGCTCAGGCCTCTGAGTAAGTCTAATCGTCAAGCCTTTGCTACATGGACCACGTCTATGGTACAACAGACCCTTTTTAAGGATTTCCGGTGAGTTTTCCTGACTCGTTTGCTTGAATTGTGTTGTGACGATGTTACCTCGCTCTAATGATGTCCGTCACGAAGGCTTAGCACCTTTTCACCGGAATCGAAGGATGTT